AAATACCGGTAGAGCGAGTTTTGAGCATAGTTTCGTATTTCTAGTCCATATCCCATATACAGTAGTAGTGACACTATAGTGTCATATTTCAATAAAATACACAAGGCCACCAATTCCCTCCAAATGCACCCATAAAATATTTTAGCTATAAAATTACCTATAATATGCATTCAAACCTCAGGTCTCTCTATTTTTTCTATTTTTTGACCGGTACTTTATTCGAAACTATCCTCTGCCACCTTTAACTTTCAAAGTTTGTCTTGCAATTAACAAACCTTGCTCAATTCAGAAAGAACATGCAATTCTGAGTAAAAATATACCAAATATGTCTTGATTCATTGAAAAATAAAATAGTTATGGCCAAATAAGAGACCTCACCAATTCTCGGTCAACCACCTTAACCCCATATTTTTTGTTCCACATCAAACAAAAGCAATTCTTACAACTCCAAATGATCAATACACCATCAAAAAAGTGTTAAATGGTAATTTTAATCTATTTCAAATACAGTTATATGTAAAAAGTCAAATATAAAGTGCACATCTTGGTGAAATGTACTCACATGTATCACATACTCCCCTATTTTTCATGTTCTGTGAAATTCCATTTTATCTCTTTTTCACTTGGTTTTATATACCTATAACTTCTTTGCAAAGTTAAAACCCCTTTCAACTTTCAAGATATTTATCATGATATGTGAAAACCCCTCTTGCATCACATGCTAAAGAAAAAGTGTCCAGGAAATGGCAGTTCAACACCCCACCCCTGCAGCCATTTCTTCAGTGTAATGAAAATGCACTGTAAAAATCTGTTTGTTCTATCTGAATTCTTTCTAAGTGTCTGAAATTCACTTTAAACAGTTATGAGTAATCAAATATATACATTTCATTCTCCTGAAAACTAAAAGTGATTATTCTGTCCATCCTGGGCAATTGTGGGCAGATTATATGGGCCTAGCAGAATTCAATAATTACATGAAAATACACATTTTATTGATATTACTTCATTAAATATGCAATATAAACTCTTTGTTTTGTTATTATTCAAAGAAAAATAGTCATTTTATAGCAAACCATTGAAAAATTTAAATTCTGTCACATTTCAATATAGATAAATTAAAAATTGAAAGGGGGGGGGGGGCATATTTCATGAAATTATAAATAACAGAATAGGTTAAATTTGGAAAAATTAAAGCAAAAAAAGTTTTTTTTGTACTATATGTGGTTAGATTGTGACATTTAGGTATGCTGACTGATTTTTATTTTCAAAATAATTATATTTAGTAAATTAGGTGGAAAAAATGGCAAATTTATGTAATTTCAGTGATATCGCACTAATTAATACACTTAAATTTTAATTACATTTTATTAATTATAGCAAGGCATGATTTTAATTATGCGACAATACCCAAAGTATCAAATTCAAACAATTAATTTATTCTCTGGCAAAAAATGCCTAAATCCAATATGATTTATTATGCTGATGGTTCAAAGTCTTTAAAAATGTATGCTGGAAAAGAGTAACCCCCCTTGCTTTTTAGTGAATATACCCAACTGTACAGATTTTAAATAACAGAAACAAAGTATTTTTTTAAATTGACATACATAAATAAACCCTTTTGTATAAAAATCAGACTAAAATTCACATTTCTAAAAATTGATGCATTCTTGAAGGTGGCAGAGGATAGTTTTTTTTGCAATCAAAACGTTTGACTGACGATTTACTTAATATTGAGCTGCTTTTAAAATGTGCATTGAAAAATTTTAAATTCCCTCTACATGTAATAATAGTATGATGTAGTCCCTTGAGAAATTTGAAGCTTTTAGGAATAAAACATGTACAACTTACACAATGAGCCCTAAAGATGGCGCAGGGACAATCTCAAAATTTTATGTGAATCAAGCCTATTTTCACTATTTCGCCGCAGCCGCATCTGCTTCCAGGCCCGTGCTCATGACCTAAGCTACCACACAAATTGCAGAATAACATTTGTACATACCAATGAACAGCAAGAGATATGGGCTCAACCACCTCGTTTTCAAGCTACAATTCATCCTGTGAACCCACCCCGCTTTTCTGGTGAAATACCGGTAGAGCGAGTTTTGAGCATAGTTTCGTATTTCTAGTCCATATCCCATATACAGTAGTAGTGACACTATAGTGTCATATTTCAATAAAATACACAAGGCCACCAATTCCCTCCAAATGCACCCATAAAATATTTTAGCTATAAAATTACCTATAATATGCATTCAAACCTCAGGTCTCTCTATTTTTTCTATTTTTTGACCGGTACTTTATTCGAAACTATCCTCTGCCACCTTTAACTTTCAAAGTTTGTCTTGCAATTAACAAACCTTGCTCAATTCAGAAAGAACATGCAATTCTGAGTAAAAATATACCAAATATGTCTTGATTCATTGAAAAATAAAAAAGTTATGGCCAAATAAGAGACCTCACCAATTTCGGTCAACCACCTTAACCCCATATTTTTTGTTCCACATCAAACAAAAGCAATTCTTACAACTCCAAATGATCAATACACCATCAAAAAAGTGTTAAATGGTAATTTTAATCTATTTCAAATACAGTTATATGTAAAAAGTCAAATATAAAGTGCACATCTTGGTGAAATGTACTCACATGTATCACATACTCCCCTATTTTTCATGTTCTGTGAAATTCCATTTTATCTCTTTTTCACTTGGTTTTATATACCTATAACTTCTTTGCAAAGTTAAAACCCCTTTCAACTTTCAAGATATTTATCATGATATGTGAAAACCCCTCTTGCATCACATGCTAAAGAAAAAGTGTCCAGGAAATGGCAGTTCAACACCCCACCCCTGCAGCCATTTCTTCAGTGTAATGAAAATGCACTGTAAAAATCTGTTTGTTCTATCTGAATTCTTTCTAAGTGTCTGAAATTCACTTTAAACAGTTATGAGTAATCAAATATATACATTTCATTCTCCTGAAAACTAAAAGTGATTATTCTGTCCATCCTGGGCAATTGTGGGCAGATTATATGGGCCTAGCAGAATTCAATAATTACATGAAAATACACATTTTATTGATATTACTTCATTAAATATGCAATATAAACTCTTTGTTTTGTTATTATTCAAAGAAAAATAGTCATTTTATAGCAAACCATTGAAAAATTTAAATTCTGTCACATTTCAATATAGATAAATTAAAAATTGAAAGGGGGGGGGGGGGCATATTTCATGAAATTATAAATAACAGAATAGGTTAAATTTGGAAAAATTAAAGCAAAAAAAGTTTTTTTTGTACTATATGAGGTTAGATTTAGTGACATTTAGGTATGCTGACTGATTTTTATTTTCAAAATAATTATATTTAGTAAATTAGGTGGAAAAAATGGCAAATTTATGTAATTTCAGTGATATCGCACTAATTAATACACTTAAATTTTAATTACATTTAATTAATTATAGCAAGGCATGATTTTAATTATGCGACAATACCCAAAGTATCAAATTCAAACAATTAATTTATTCTCTGGCAAAAAATGCCTAAATCCAATATGATTTATTATGCTGATGGTTCAAAGTCTTTAAAAATGTATGCTGGAAAAGAGTAACCCCCCTTGCTTTTTAGTGAATATACCCAACTGTACAGATTTTAAATAACAGAAACAAAGTATTTTTTTAAATTGACATACATAAATAAACCCTTTTGTATAAAAATCAGACTAAAATTCACATTTCTAAAAATTGATGCATTCTTGAAGGTGGCAGAGGATAGTTTTTTTTGCAATCAAAACGTTTGACTGACGATTTACTTAATATTGAGCTGCTTTTAAAATGTGCATTGAAAAATTTTAAATTCCCTCTACATGTAATAATAGTATGATGTAGTCCCTTGAGAAATTTGAAGCTTTTAGGAATAAAACATGTACAACTTACACAATGAGCCCTAAAGATGGCGCAGGGACAATCTCAAAATTTTATGTGAATCAAGCCTATTTTCACTATTTCGCCGCAGCCGCATCTGCTTCCAGGCCCGTGCTCATGACCTAAGCTACCACACAAATTGCAGAATAACATTTGTACATACCAATGAACAGCAAGAGATATGGGCTCAACCACCTCGTTTTCAAGCTACAATTCATCCTGTGAACCCACCCCGCTTTTCTGGTGAAATACCGGTAGAGCGAGTTTTGAGCATAGTTTCGTATTTCTAGTCCATATCCCATATACAGTAGTAGTGACACTATAGTGTCATATTTCAATAAAATACACAAGGCCACCAATTCCCTCCAAATGCACCCATAAAATATTTTAGCTATAAAATTACCTATAATATGCATTCAAACCTCAGGTCTCTCTATTTTTTCTATTTTTTGACCGGTACTTTATTCGAAACTATCCTCTGCCACCTTTGATTACATTGAGATGGAACACCTAACACTGGCTGTGATGGGCTGGTTTTCTGTTTCCATGGTTTGTTGCTAATTGATCACCTAGTTCTGTCATGTAAATTACTTTTATCTTGTATCAGACAAATCTTCATTATGGATAGGTGAAATTCTTAATCAGGGTAATGACTCATCTGTTTCTCAGATTTACTGAAAAAAAAAGTAGCTTTAATGGTAATGAAATCCTATAGCTAACCCCCCTACCACAGCTTGTTAATGGGTTAATAGGTTGTTCTGGGAATGTGCATACAAATAAAATACAGTTATCTTAATTGTGTGCTGCACTACTCACAATGTCTTAATTGTGTGCTCCTGCTCGTGGTTTTTTTTTTCCATTCAGCTCCCCCAACCCTCTGTTAGATGATACGCTTGCTTCACTGTTATGTGAGATCCTAGCTCTCAGTGATTTCCTGGTTACAAACCTAAGATACATGTGTACAAGAAAACCTGATGGGGAGGCTATGAGTCAAAAGTTCAGTAACCAATCGTACAAGTGCAGGCAAACAAGTGTAACAATTGCACGGGGAATTTCATTTTTATTATATTCTGTGTATATGCATGTTTTTACATAATGTTGTTTTCTCTCTGCAGAGATCCAAGAAAGATTGTCCTAAAGAAGGGGTCGACTGGTCTGGGCTTCAACATTGTGGGAGGGGAGAATGGCGAGGGGATATTTGTCTCCTTCATCCTGGCGGGGGCACCGGCCGACCTCAGCGGGGAGTTACGGAGGGGCGACCAAATCTTGTCGGTATGTCAACACCAATGGATCATCAATGAATAAATTGTGTCTTTTATCAAACTTATATAGTAATGATCAATGAAATCAAGACTTCATTAAACTGCATGTAACTTCACTAAGTGTATTACAATTAACAGATGGTTTGCTACTGTTTGCATTCTTAATTGTGAGAGTGTATATTTTTAACTGACACAACATTTTGACCTTAATTACTGTGTAAAATTAACACTTTTTTGATATGTTTTGATAGCGGATGTGGCTATATTTTTAACTAACATAACGTGAGCTTAAATACTATGTAACAATTTACACTTGGTAGTGTTTGTATATTTTTAAAATGACAACATGGGGCTATCGTGAGCAAAATGTAAATCAGGATTGAAAGTATTCATATCTTATGGAGTGAAAAGTAAATAATCTGAATGTAAGTTGGATGTTGAATTTCAGAATGGTGTTAGTAGGGCAGAGCAGAATAAAAAATAATAATTAGTATTAATGCAGTAATTATCCAAGGGGAAGCTATAATTTATGATGAGTGATTTGAAAACTTGACTTAGGCAGTTTAAGCCTGACTTTGTCCATGAACGGAGTGGATTTACCAAGATTTTATGAGAAAGAAAAAAAAAATAAGAATGAAGTCATGTGTTATCCTGTATCATGACGTAACAGACAAAGATTTTGTTATTTTATATGGATGTATTAAAGTAGGAACAGCATTAGGTTATAGTGCAGTAGAACCTTGGTTAACTCAGAATTATTCAATTGTCCTGAAATGTTGAAAATATAATCTATTTGAAAATAGATTAAAAAGGTGCACAGACTGATGTTAGTGATTTCATTGTAGGTGAATGGTAAGGATTTAGTAATGGCCACACATGAAGAGGCAGCGGGTGCCCTGAAGATGGCCGGGGACACAGTGGAACTAGTAGTACAGTACCGACCTGACGGTAACTATAGAGGCACTAACCAACCTCCACAGGCAAATGGGGGGGATAAATATTTTATATTCCCTCTGAGCAACATTTAGCATTGTTTAGGCAATTGATTTCAGAACATCCTAGCCCCTTGCAAATTTGACATTCAGATAGGTTAATATTCAAGTTGTTTTTTATTTGAACATTTTTGATGATTTGTTTTTCCCTTTTACATTTGTTCTCTGCTTTAAAACAGTTGTTTTAGTTTGAAATAAAGTTTAAAGGTAACATACATTTTAATGTAGGTAATGGCATCTGTTTTGAATAATAATCACATAGACCTGTTTTACTAATGTCCCTAATCCTTTCCCATGCAGAGTACAACAGATTTGAGGCCAAAATTCAGGACTTGCGGGAACAGATGATGAACACAAGTACAGGCAGTTTACGCACCACTCAGAAGAGGACACTTTATGTCAGGTACAAATGATTCTGACAGGGATATTGTTAAAACTTTAAGAACAAGATATATTGATTTTTTATTTACAGATTTATTGTTTTTCATGCAAAGCAGAATTTTTTTCATTTCTAGCATTGATTGAAAAACGTGTGAAAAATGTTATTTTAAGAGAATGTTATACTTCTTTACAAAGGTTCTACTCCTGCAGTAAAAAGTTTTAATAAACCCTGAATCTGATTTTTTTTTCTGTTTTTCAGAGCGTTGTTTGATTATGAACCAACCAAAGACAGTGGTTTACCCAGTAAAGGCCTGGCCTTTAAGTATGGTGATATTCTCCATGTAACCAATGCTAGTGATGACGAGTGGTGGCAGGCCCGCTATGTGACCCCCGACGGGGAGGAGGAAGGAATGGGGATCATTCCAAGTAAACGACGGTAAGAATGATCCCGAGAGAAACTTGAATGGGAATAATTTGTAATTTTTGCATGATATTGTAATGTAGAACTACTGCTTTTATATGAAACACCAGTATACTAGTATTTGAAATACAGAAGAGCTAAAGAACATTACAGTCATAGAAATTTATATTATTTGAAAGAATGTTGCAGCTGAGTTGAATCTTTTTTGTTTACAGGGTAGACAGAAAAGAAAGAGCACGGTTAAAGAACGTTAAATTTACAGGCAAAACAAGTGAAAAGGTAAGAAAGTTGTAGAAATGTTAACCACAGGCGTTTTGCTCTACAGTTCTTTGGTAATTATTGTTATTGGATCCCTTTTAATATAAGAACTCTAGTGACACAGAACAGAGAGGTGATTTTTTTTTCACAAAATATATAAGTAAATATGTGAGTGCTCTTGCAACTTTGTCAAGGTTTATAACACTTTTTGTCAGAATGTAATGTACAAGAGAGATGTTTTTATGCATAAAGAATTTTATTTTTCACAGACAAATGGCAATGTGCAACATGTCAATTCAAATGAGAAGAAAAAGAAGAATTTTTCATTTTCCAAACATTTCCCATTTATGAAGAGCAAGGACCATGCGGTTGGCGAGGACATCAGTGCTGACGAACGTAAGTTACCGGACAGTCGAACGTCCAGAGCATGCCCAGTGTATATCTCTGATCTTAACAATCCTATATTCATCCTTAAGGCAGAATTTGTTATTTCTTATGACCTCAATAGTTCAAAATTGTAGAATGTTGGATAAAATGTACCTATATCTGTATATATTCCTTTAGAGTCGTTATCAGCAGAATTTAGAGTTTAGACTCCTTTGAAGTGACATTAATTTTGTTTCTTTGTTGTGATTTTTTTGTAGCTGAAGGTAATATTTTCAGTAGCTGCTAATTTCTTGCTTTGCCTTGTTAGCTTCTGTTCTTGTCCGAAGATTGTTATATAGTCATGTGAAATGTACATTTGAAAGTACCATTGTCAGTAGAAATGTAGACAAACTCTTTCTTATGTACATTTTACATGAGATTAATGTTGTGAACATGTGAACTTAATCAGAAGACTTCACCATTCATCAGTAACTCTTTAGCTTTTCTGCCAGTAAATGCTTCAGAAAATGAACTGATAAATATACCTATATCTGTCGCACTAGATTTATAAGTTACATGAAAAGTTAAAACAAATCTCTCAAGTGAAGTTGACAAATATAAAAAGTCTAGTTGGGAAAAAAAAGTTACTAACATTATGTCTGAAATAAGAAAAAAAAAGCTATGTGTAGATTATTTGTTGGTTTGGATGTTACTTGAACAGCTGCTTATTTTGGAGATTAAAATTGTCTTCAGATAGAAATTCTAGAATAAAGTCAAAGTTAATACATGTAATCAGAATTCATGTACTTCTGTTACAAGCAAAATATTCATATACAGAAATCAGTAAAGCAATCAAAGGTATAATAATTATTATTAAGCATAAACCAAATAAAATACAGTATTAAAAAAGAGAATATAAATGTGAGAAAAATAGACTAACACCTTAAATTCTTTTAATCACAATTTTTTCTTCATTGCTTTGCTAATTTCTCTTAGATGAAATCCCATTTATTTTTTATTATGTGTACTTTAACTAAATATATATGTTTTATGATTTAAAATTTATACTTTCTTACATTGTTTTTAAAAACAATTTTTTCACTTTTGTTTAGCCAATTAAAAAAAAAAGAAGAAGTGATATTAATTTTTGTTGACATTTGATTTGCTTTTATTTAATGCTGCCTAGCAACTTGATGTTGCCTGGTAACCTGCATGCTATTAACGTTGTTGATTGGTTGTGTAAATGTGCATGGTGTGTTGACCCTAGTTTGATTTTGTTCTCAGGTGGCGCTGACAGTGAGGCCAGCTATCGTAAGTACAGTTGTCAGTCTGTCTGTCTGTTAAATACTGGGGTAGGTGTAATAATAATAGTTCAACATGTCACACAGAACTGAACATTGATCGGGATTGAATTTGTATCTACTCGTCATATAAGAAACTTAAAGCAGAATAAATTGTTTCTATTTCTGAATATTTGGTCAATCCACATGAACAATTGAGAAAATTTAATAGTAAATATACAGGGTGATTTCTGTTGTTTCTACTTGTGACTATATTTCTGTCTGTTCCCTAGGTGGAGATGAACCTATTCTCTCATACGAGGCTGTAGTGCAGCAGGAGTGTAAGTCAATCTTAGTTTCATTGTTACTGGATATTACCAAATAAACCAAGACTTTAAAAAGTCTAATTGTAAACCAAGATTTTAAATAGTCCAATTGATACTGTTATACCATTATGTAGAGTCTGCAGATCGGTGTATTTTGTCACTATGGTAATGTTTGGTATATGTATATTTAACATGCAATAATTTCAGCAGTTATTAAAAAAAACTGCAGTTAAATTCAAGTATATTTCTTGCACATTTGTTGGTTTACATGTGCACATTTTGTTTTTCTACTGACAGTGAAATACACCAGACCTGTCATCATTCTGGGGCCACTAAAGGACAGAATCAACGATGACCTCATCTCAGAATTCCCAGACAAATTCGGCAGTTGTGTTCCACGTAAGTCTCACTTGAACTAAATAAAAAAGTGTTCTTAAAATATAAATAGTATCCATAATAATGAACTGATACATTTAATAATTTTTTTTTCTAAATACCACTTATTGATATGCTTTCAAGATGTCGCAAGTCAATTTGTTGCAATTAACTCGTGATACTGACTGGTCATTGTAGATACGACACGAGCCCGGCGCGAGTACGAAGTGGACGGCCGAGATTACCATTTTGTAGACTCACGGGAACAAATGGAGCGTGACATCCAAAATCACCTGTTTATTGAAGCAGGACAGTATAATGAGAACCTCTATGGAACCAGTGTAGCGTCAGTGAAAGAGGTGGCAGAAAAGGTTAGTACTTAGTTTGTATTGATGTTTGTATCCTGTTTTGCTTCTAAACTATGGTGACTTGGTAGTATAGAGTTTGTACACTAAGTTACTGATATTATTAAAGTGTATCTTTTACGACACATTTTTTGCCATGAGACAACTTTCTGAAAGCAAATTCTATAAATGTTTTTTTAGAATAACTGGTAAAAGTTTTAATTTGGATGAATATTAACGTTTTCAAATACTAGTATTCAAATCTTTACAAGTCAGAATGAATACTTGAGATAATGTATACTCCTATCCCATTCTGGCCGTGCTTGAATGAGAAGAGAATATTTCGTAGCTCATTAAAAATCGACCAATGCGAGTAAAGCATAGATGCAAAATGAACTTTGACACAACTTTCAATACCCAATCGCAGTTTATGAAACGTGTCTTGTACACTGTTGATGTTAATAGTTGATTTCAATAGCAATGGAAACAAATATTGTCATTGGCTGAATATGAATATTCAGGATTACGATACTTCTTGTGGCCACGGGTAGGAGAGAGCTATATGCAGACTCTGAACCATGGCTTGAGATGTTGGAGATAATGTTGACTTTTCTTTTTGTCTTTCAGGGGAAGCACTGTATCCTGGATGTGAGTGGGAATGCCATTAAGAGACTACAGGTGGCTGGACTGTATCCAGTAGCCATCCTTATCAAACCCAAGTCCATTGAATCCATAATGTAAGTCATGAATGTTTATTTGTAATTAATTTTCAGTAGTCATTAAGTGCATTCCTCTTGATAGTCTCAGGTTTGACTCACAGTTATAGGTTTTTGATTCCTTGATTTTAAAAAGTAGTACATGTAGAGTGAAATTTAGTGGTTTGGCTTTGTTATGAAGTCATTGCTTAGTGTATTTATCTAAAAGAATTTTATGTAAAGAAAATCTGTTACAAATGCCATCTTTCATAAGACTTCACAAAATATCTTTAAAGTAAGTTGGGAAGATCTCTTTATGTCCAACAAGAAGACCAGCATTGGTATGACAGTTTGCTCAGCTTCTCTGGGTTTTGTTCTGGAGTGAAATCTTACGTGTAGAACTCTGTTCTGTGGTTAACTTGATTGTATTTTGTATTAAAATTGCATGAACACATTTCTGGTACTTATGAATTCCAAATCAATTTTGGGACATGGTGCCATTGAGTACGGTGCTTATTTCTGTGTGAAATTTTTGCTTTTAACAATTTTGTGTTGGTTTGAAAGGTCTCTTTCTTTGGCTCTTTCTGTGTTATGTGTGTAACCATTCTATAATGGAGCTGTACATTGTAGGGATATGAACAAAAGAATAACAGAAGAACAAGCCAGATTAACCTATGAAAGAACCATGAAACTGGAACAAGAATTCGGGGAATACTTTACTGGTAATTGTTGCACTTAATTTTAGTGAAAATAAGTCTTAAATAATAAGTATCTCTTTTCATTTCATAAAATTTAGATTTTGCTAGGAAGTAACATTGATAATTAAGTAGGTTTTTAAAATGATAGTTACTTATATCACAGATATGACTTTTATGAAATGATGCAATAAACCTGAATTTCCTCTGTTTCAGCTGTTGTTCAAGGTGATACGGCAAATGAGATCTATGCAAAGGTTAAGGAAGTGATCCGCGACCAGTCAGGGCCCACTATCTGGGTACCAGCCAAGGAAAAGTTATGAGCAGGGGGTCAGAGGTCGTGTGGTTACTGAAGCAGATCAACCTTTGTTCAGTGATCCATAAACTGCCAATGAACTTTGACATTCTTACCAAATCATGTGTGATGCAGGCCAAGGGAAACTAATCTACAAACCTGGGCGGGCAATAGTTTTATTTATTGAAGTTTATGGTGTTTTTTTTACTGTAATTTATCATCTTTCATCTTCGATCATGCATTTTGACAGTACGAGTTCTTTTGTTGTAGATTAGAATTTTCAAGGTTTTGATTGATGGAAGATTGTTAGAGAAAGCTGAATGTCTTTTAAGAGTTTATTTGACAGATAGAGACAAAAATCAAAGTCTTAAGGGATTTAACAACCTAGGTAGTAAAGTGATCTGAATATTCAGGTATATAAAGAAAATAATTGGAGAATTTAACCAAGTTGAATTAATAATGATGATAGTAAAATATTGCCAATTGTGATAAAATTGTATATATAAATGGAAAGAATAATACATAAGATTGGAGAATTTTTAGTAATGTAATATATGAAATAATTTTACGGTGAAGATTTTCATGTTAATCATGTTGATTAATAAGATATTTTAATTATTCCATTTTATGTATATTGTAGTACAGGTTTATGATACAGCCAATGTATTCCTTTTGTTTCTAGTTAAAAGTTGTGCATTATACAGCTATTTTCTAAAATGCACTTTTCTGTAACTGAATGAATAAATGAAAGGTTATTGAATCAACATTCCTAAGTATTCCAAGTTTAAGTGACATACTCTATACGAAGAACTGTTTTATTATATACAAAAAACACTTTGACAGACTTGTTAATTTG